CTGCTGAATTCGTTTGCTTTAAAGTAAACTATGAAGAACATCAATCTACTCTTGATATTGGTCTTGTTTAACATTCACAGTCGATATTGCTGAAGTCATCAGGGGCACGTCAGCTACGACCGGGTTTCGGTTTTTTTTCCTAGCCCCATTTCAACCGCTCATTGGAAGCCAGGAGCGGCAAAGATCAATGGAAACGAGCTGATGCTGCGCCAAAACCTAGACTCCGCTGACACGCCCCGGCTGATACGCTGCCGCAAAGTATAAACGCAGCCTAACCGTCTTCAAGTTTTGTGACGGAGGAGGTGTTGCGGCGGTATTGGAGGGGGTGGAGCGGGCTGCCTTTTGCACCAATGCTGGTGGGTTGGTGATCCACTAAGGAAGAAGGCGACCAGTGGCAGAAAATGCCCCTGTGGCCTTGACTTCTGAGACTGCCTCGAATCACTGTGACAATATCAGTTAGATAGTGCGCATGAAACGGGAAAATAGCAGTCAGAAATATTTTTCCAGGTCGAATATAATATTACCCCTCGCTAGATATGATCTTCTGGGGATTCCAATATATACCCTGCTGGCCCGTCAAATTAACAATATTCGTAACGTGCGGTCGATCGACCGCGTTCCCTGTATGCGCACCACTAGAAAGCAATCGCTGCACTCGGTGAAAAAAACCTTCTCGAAGCGTGCAAGTGTGCATTGCAGACAATGCACGCGGCATTCAATGTTTTGAGAACGAATTCTTTTGGAATAGATGTAAGAATGTAAGCTGAAAAACATATGGTAATGTCGCTCACCTGTGTCGTTCTCCACCAACCACTGCACTGTTGGTTTCAAAGTTATCGGATCTCGAAGGAAAAGTGGGATTTTCCACTGCACTCCACTTCGTTTATGACCAGGAATGTGCTGTAAAATGTAATACTTGTAACATAGCAGCAATATCATGATAATCAGGGCCACTTGTGAGGTGGGAAGTATTCTTCAGTCGCCGCGGTGGTCCACGAATTTATTCGGTGTGTTCAGTGTTTTCGAGAACGCACTATGCCTTCCTATGATGGACTTCATGACCTCACGGGTGAAGGATGGTTGACTGTTCCAATGCTGCTGAAGGCGCGAGAACAGAGCCTGCGATGATGCGGACACTGGATGAGAAAGCCTGATATTCGATAAGGAAGGCACTGGAGTTCGAGCTACAGGGCAAGAGACTACCAGTAGCCTGGAGCAAATGAAGGGGCGGCTTCACCACGATAGATGATTCGTGGGATCGGAACAAGAAAGAACGTCTCACAAGAACAGGTATCCCACCGTTGCCTCTCCCCTATGGAGGGAACTAACGGTAGGAAAGAGAAGACAGGACAAAGTACGGTAGAGGCTCATTTTCTTGACTGGCAATGTGGCTCACTGGAGAAGGCCTACGATCACTTGGTGAGTTCATCACAGCTGAGATGGTGTAGTTGTTGAGGAATGAATCAGAAGGATAACAAGCAAAGTGAAAGAAAAGAGCGATCATGAGCGGGTCATAATTGAAAAAAATGCTTTTGAAAAAGTAAAAAGATCTTAATCGCACGCTCTTACCCTGTAGATCTCCTGTGTGACTTGAACTTTTCCATCGTTCCGTTTTTTCACATGAAGAACTGGAAAGCCTTGCTGGTAGATCCATGTCTCAATTACTTCCGTCAGCGTGAAATTCTGACCGGCTATACATCCGTTACTACTCGACTCCCCATGGACCCTGAAGTTAAGTGAAGTGAGCACAGGTGCAGCAGGAATCCAAAATGAACGAAAAATCAAAAAGTTGACTTGAACGCTTAAAGCTCTTGACCCGTGGGTACAAGGTATATGTAGTATCGCGATGGGTGGGGTGGCTTCGGAAGTAAAATCCACACCGGAACATTTTCCTCCCCAATAAGACAGGCACGTCACTCCGGAGATCCCAGCAAGGGGTTTTTTTAAGCCCATTTTTCTGTTTCGGGCGCTATATAGCCCTCGTTTTCTCTCCCTTTATGACAGCTTCTTTGGAAAAAGTGGATAAATCTCCGTGAAAAACTCTCAAAATGGGAAGGTCGGGGGAAATTAGTGAATGGTAGGTAGCTAGGACGGAGAATGACGAAGGGGGCTCTAGCGATCACTTTGGGACCACAGTGGGGAGTCTTTGGTCGCTGGAGGAAGGGGGCCGTATTTGCCTTTTCGCCTTTGACGATTTTTCCTTTTTCATGTACGTCCATGGAGCGGCTTTGTCCCGACGGCAAGTTTAAAGGCAGTTGGCATGATCAATTGGAGCTCGGCCTGAAATGCTAGCAGGGCGCTATATAGTGGGAAATGGCGAAAAACGAAGTGAAACGGTCAAAAACCTGCGAAGAAAAGCCTTCGTTCTTAATGACTCGAAAAGCAATTTTGGACGAGTTTCCCGTAGGCATCTTGCCAATAACCGCTACGGTAGGTACGGCTGCACGTATGTACTCATACAAATACAGCACCGCAGCCGTCATACCAATCCCTTCGCTTCATATTTTACTTCGCAAATGAAGCAATACGAGCATCAGGTACGGTCGTCCATTTGTGGGCGGGCGGGCGAGGTTGGCGTTCGCGTCGTAGCGGCTAAGTTGTGGCTTGACAGCATCGTGTTCTGTGAAATGGCGGTGTCAGTTCGACCCCCCCCCCCAGAAAAGGATCCTGAAAGACTCCTCCCCTTTCCGGCTCTAATTGTTTGCTCTGATTAGATACGTAACAACTGGCAAGCGCTGGCGGCCGCGTTATGATTCCATAACAAATTAGCGGTGGAGCAGATCTGGGAATCGCGGGGCTTTTTCCGGGGTCAATCGCTTTTTCAAGTGTGTGGTATTGAGAAATGGAAGGCAGCATGTTGGAGCAATGTCTTTACTGTTGCTTTTTCTACCTACTTGCCATATGAACCTTCCCTCGTATTTCGGATGGGTTACGGACGCATGAGTGGTAAATCACGAGCGGGCCTCGAGGCTTGACAATAATTTCTTTCAAAGCAATCTTTTGCGAAACTGAGAAAGCCATCAGAATGCACAACATTTTCTCTTTCCACAAGTTCACATTTTTACTGAAGTCACGTTGGTTTCAGAAGAGATTTTGAAGACACGTTAGTTTAGAAGAGAGAAGGATCACACCCGAGCATCACCCTGAGTAACTCGAAAGCTCGACTCCTTCTGTGCCATTGCAAGGTTGTAAGGATACTCACTCGCGAACTTCAGCATGCCTTCAGAACACACACACACTGAGCGTAATTTGAACTGAGTCAAAGCATAATTTGATTATTATCGATCGGTTTGGTCCCAGCATGCGCCGTGCATTACGCCTCTACGCAGAGGTGATAGAAAGGTGAACTTCTGATTTTAGGTGATTTTTGTCTATGCAAGCAGAGTTTATTTAGAGTTAGAAAAAGATGATACGCATAAATATGTTCTATAATAGATGTATTACTTATGAGGAAAGGTCCACAGGTCGAACGGTGAAGGTGCACACCGTTGTGCGCGTTTTGAGACGGCAAACTCGAATCTACCTCAAGAATTTGCAGAACGTTCCATAAGTTCTCAGAGAATCGTTCCGCAAATTTTGAAGATAGTTTTGAGTTCACCGTCTCAAGGCGAGTACATGATGTGCACCTCATTGCAAATGGCCAGGCTGACCTGTTGACCTTTCCTGGTGGGCAGTTACGTACTTACGAGTTCATGCTCACATTTGCTGCTAGTCAATTTTAATATTTTATTGTGTTCCTTACATCCGGATCCTCTGGCTTTCCGCCCGCTCCATCAAACACTGCGATGGCCTTTTTGTGCTGTTTGGTGCTTACCGACTCTACGTACGACCCCCCCCCTCCGGCCTTCCCCAGCGGCCAGGTACGACCTGCGTCCCGCACAGGATGCTGTACTCTGAATGTTGCAGCTTGATGCAATCCATTTGAGTCTGGGTACGGTAGCTCCTCACTGCAGGTGCCCTTTCCCAAAAGGCTTTCAAGGAAAGCGGTTACTCAATTTTCGCATACGAGGGTGAGGCTGAAAGACGCAGGAAACTATAACACACTAGA